TTTTGTGATAAAGCTTGGACCCTTCGCCATGACGGTTCTCCTAACTCCACTGGGATCATGGCCTCGGTATCGTAGGTTAACCTGAACGGGCTTTCTCCGGTAGAAGTTTGCATCGTGGTTCTGTACCCCCATAGTACATACCATAGTTCTTCTACCCACTTCCCCTTGGCACATTGTTCCAATCTTTTACGTAACCCGGCTATGATGACCTGATTTGCCGCCTCGGCTTGGCCGTTAGACTGAGGATGTTCTACAGACGCAAAACGATGCCGGATGTGAAGATTTGCCATTAATTCTTGTAAAGTTTTGCTTGTGAATTGGGTCCTGTTGTCGGTAACCACCTCGGCTGGAATCCCAAACTTGCAGATCAAGTTCCTCTCGAAGAAACGTTGCACCCTTGTCGTGGTAATTGTTTCCACTGGCTCTACTCCTATCCATTTAGTAAAGTAATCAACAGCCACTATTAACCATTTTAACTGTCTTTCAGCCGTTGCGAATGGACCCAAGAGGTCCATCCCCTATTTAAAGAACGACCATGGAGCCGTGATCAAACTTAACTCTTCTGGTGGTGCCAACAGGTTCTTACCGTGCTTCTGGAATTGATCGCACCTCTGCACGTGTTCCTTCGCGTCCTGACTCATGGATAGCCAGAAATAGCCTGCTCTGAGAGCTTTACGGGCTAGTGCCCTGCCTCCAACGTGCTGGCCATTGATTCCTTCATGAATTTTAGATAGGACATATTTCGCTTTATCCGAGCTTAGACACTTTAGTAAGGGGGAATAGGCTCCTTTTTTGTAAAGTTTCCCTTCTACCATTGTGTACAATGCTGCATCCTTAACCAGCTTCCTAGCTTCCTCCTTTTGGGGGGGTAGCGTCCCGTTTTCTATGTAGTCAATAATGGTACTACACCAATCTTTGCCTTCGGTAATCTGCATGACACATGTAGGTTCTGGGATATTCTGCTCAACCACTGTCCTGTGGTTTCCCCAACCTTTAGTGCTTGCCAGCTTTGACAGTATATCAGCCCTGCTATTTTCATTTCTTGGAATATGACTGACCTCTACTTTTTCAAACTCTGCTATTAACTGCCTTGCGGAATTCAAGTATTTTGCTAACAACGGTCCTTTAGCTTGGTAGCTTCCTGCAATCTGGGAGGTGACCACTTGCGAATCACTATAGATTTGCAGTCTCCTTGCTCTGAGCTCCTTGGCTTGCTGAGGCCCGGCTATGAATGCTTCATATTCTGCCTGGTTGTTTGATGTTTCAAATTTCATCTGCATGGAGTATTCAACCGAAACCCCTTCCGGGTTCTCAATAATTACCCCGGTCCCGCTACCTTTGGAGTTTGAGGATCCATCCACGTAGATTTTCCAGGTGTCTGGGTTTGTTGAGCTCTCTTTTTGGATTGAAGTAAGCTCTCTGACAAAATTTGCCAGTGCTTGAGATTTGATTGCTTTTCGGCTTTCGAAAACTATGTCAAATTCTGATAATTCCACAGCCCGGGCCATCATTCTTCCTGCTAAGTCAGGCTTATGCAAGATTTGTCGAATTGGCAAGTTTGACCTGACTACAATCCGGTGTCCTTGAAAATATGCTCTGAGTCTTCTAGCCGAGATTAGTAAGGCGAAAGCCACCTTTTCTAACTTATGATAATGGATCTCTGCTCCCTGCAAGAGCCGACTTACGAAGTAAATCGGTTGTTGTCCCTCCTCATTTTCTTAAACTAGGACCGAGCTAACAGCAACATCTACCAGAGAAAGATATATTATCAGTGGCTCCCCTTCTCTTGGACTAGATAAGACTAGTGGTGATGCCAGCTGCTTTTTTATTTCTTGGAATGCTGCCTAACACTCTGAGGTCCACCCATATTGCACCTCCTTTCGTAAAAGCTTGAAAAAAGGTAATGTTGTTTTCGCAGATCAAGGCAAAAACCTAGTGAGAGAAGCTAGCCTTCCAGTCAACTGTTGGATCTTCTTTTTTCTTGCTGGTGACTTCATTTCTAGCACGGCTCTACATTTGTCCAGGTTAGCTTCGATGCCTCTGTGAGTCAACATAAATCCTAGAAACTTTCCTGCAAGGACTCCAAAAGCACACTTGGCCGGGTTTAACCGAATGCTATGTTGCCATAGTTTTCTGAAGGTCTGCTCCAGATCCTCAATGTGCACTGCTGAGTTAATCGATTTTACTATCATGTCATCTATGTACACCTCCACATTCTTGCCGAGCTGATCTGCGAACACTTGGTTCATCATTCTTTGGTAGGTGGCCCCCGAGTTCTTCAATCCAAAGGGCATCACATTATAACAGTAATTTTCCTTTTCTGCGATGAAAGCAGTTTTCTTCTGGTCTTCGGGGTGTAGTAGGATTTTATTATACCCTGAATATGCATCCATGAAGGATAACATCTGGAACCCGTATGAGTTGTCAACGAGCTGATCTATATTGGGCATGGGGTATGCATCTTTAGGACATACTTTATTCAGATCCATGTAGTCCGTACACACCCTCCATTTCCCATTTGGCTTTTTGACCATCACCGCGTTAGATAGCCAGGTTGTGTATTGTATCTCTCTGATTAACCCTGCTTCCAACAATTCCTTGACATGATCTTCCAATACTTGCCGTCGTCCTGCGCTGAGCTTCCTTGACAAGTTTGTGACAACAAAAATGAGGGTCCACCCCAAGTATCTCTGAGGATTTCCAAGCAAAGACGTCCATGTTCCTCCTTAGGCACTCAGTGATTCGAACTTTGTCTTCAATCGCCAGCCTCTTTTCAATCTTGATTGCTTGGGTTTCCTCTCCAATGATTACCTCTTCCAGCTCTCCATCGGGTTCTGGTCTCGGGATCTGAGTGTCATCCCTCATGTCCAACTCTACCATATTGATCGGTGCCTTTCCCTTCTTCCTTGAACTATCTTGCTTACTGCTGGGGTTTACCTCGGCCAGAGTTTTAAGGTCATGCCCCACTGCCCTAACTGACTTAAAGTAGCAGTCCCGAAATTCCTTTTGATCCCCAGCAATGGTGATGACCGTGTTTCGCTTACCAATCATTTTGAGCTTCTGATGTTTGGTGGAAACGAGCATATCCCAATCGTGGATAGTTGGCCTTCCGAGGATCACGTTATATTCCGAAGGGAAATAAGCTACTATGAATCTTATCCTTTCTGACTTGTAGGCCTCCTTTGTTCCCAAAGTAAGCCTCAGGTCGATGTACCCTTTAGGGATAGTGTTACGGCCATTGAACGCGATCAAAGCCGTGTTGCAAGGTTTCAAATCCTCTTCATCCAGGTTCATTTTCTGGAATGCCTGCCACATGTGGCATTATGTCGGCACAGCTGCCGTTATCTACGAACATTTTTTTGACTTTATAATTGACTAACGTTCCAGTGATAACTAACCCGTCAATGTGTCCCGGCATTACTTCCTCCAATTCTTTTTTAGTGAAATACAGTAGTGGTGCCTTCGGTTCGGTTTCTTTAAACTTAGGCCACTCTCGTATTGAAAGCACCTCTCTTAAGTATTTCCTCCTAGCATTCAGGTATCACCTCCTCCACCGAAAGCTCCGCTAATCACATTGCGTTCGAACTCAGGTTCTATGAACTCATCGTCTTCTTTGGCCGGCTTCTTACCTCGGCCTTCTTCTCTGAATCTCTTTTCCCGTGGCGGGCTCATAGGCCGCCCCCTCTTCTCTTCTTTTTATTCTTCCATCCTTGAGTTCTTATCAGATACTGACGTAACTTTCCCTCTCTGATATACCTTTCAATTGTGTCTCTGAGATCCCAGCATTCATCAGTGGTGTGACCAGGGCCATCATGAAATGCACAGTACCGAGATTAGTCCAACCCGGCTGGATTCAGCAATGGCCGAGGCCTATCTACTCTCTTCATTTTGGTGGATGCTACCTCCCTCAAGATTTGTGATCTGGATGAGTTCAGAGGCACATATCTGTCAAATCTCCCCTTTGTTGAAATCTTCTCTTCTGGCTGTTTACCCCGGAAATCATTTTGCTTCCAGTTTCCAGGTTTTTCTATTTGGCCTTGGTATTGCCTTCGCTCCGCATTTTCAACCTCCATTTGTTCCAGCTCCAAGTATTTCTTAGATCGTGTAGTGAACTCGACTAAAGTCCGGACTGGGTCTTTGTACACTGATTTAGCCAATCTAGAAGAGCCATGTAGCCCTGCAATTACCAGATGCAAATGGACATTCTCAGATAACTCGGGCGCTTGTAGGGCGGCCATTTTAAAACGGTCTAGGTATTTTTGCAGGGATTCCTCGGGTTGCTGTCTTATCTTTCCCAGCGCAAACTCTGACTTGGGCTGCTTTTTGCTCGTAGCAAAATTCAGCAGGAATCTCCCTCCAAATTCTTCAAAAGATCTAATAGACCCCGAAAGTAGAGATGAAAACCATGCTTGAGCTGCTCTAGTCAATGTAGTGGCGAACAGCCGGGTTATCAGAGGTTTCTCTATTCCCTTAATATACATTGCTGTATCAAAGGTATCCAAATGGACCTAGGGATCTTGTGTCCCGTCATACTTAGGAATCTCTGATAAGTTTAGGTTCTCTGGAAAGGGTGCGTCCACGATTTCGTCCATGAAGGGGCTGTCATTGTATTGCCTCCGATGATATTTCCTCCTATAGACCCCTATCACATCATCTAGGTTTCTAAATGGGCGCCTCCCATCCAGATGTTCGGGGTCCTCTCTCTGTCTTTTCGTTTCTCTCTCTCCATCCTGGCCTTCCCCCTGCTGGGGTCCCTGGCCACCAGCCGTGTTGGAAGTGTTCCTCTGAGGTCGGCCAGGTACGCTTTCAACATCCCTCCTTTGAGTTTGGGTTATATCATTGTTCTGGGGATTTGTGATCCTCAAATAATTCACGACCCGGGTTATGGCTAACTCTGGATTTGGGTTAGAGACTCGCTCTAGCCGAGCTTCTAACTCGCGCATCTGTCTAGCACCTTGCTCTCTCTCGAGCTCGTGCCTTCGCTCCATCTCCTCCATCCTTCGCAGGACCGCAACAACAGCCAGATCTGTTATTCGCGAATCACATACCTCGCCATTGGGGACCTGCATGCCATTCGCTATTTGGTCCTCCATCGGGTGTAAGCCCTGCACGTATGGGGCATCCAGGTTAACGGCTGGGATTGATGCCGAATCGGAATGCACATCACTAACATGGACCACATCAGTATCGATTGGCTGATGATTCAACGGATCCTCTTTGATTGGTGGATCAGGTTGGTGTCTGGAGTTCGATCTTGAAGGTTGTCGAAATCCACTTCTTGTTGTCCTCACCATTGCAACCTTTAATCACGTAGTAGTAGGAAAAAGTATCCCACAGACGGCACCATTGTTCTGCCTTGTGCAGATGTGTCCGACCGTAGGTCGAGTGTTTGATATTGAATCTATAGCTTTCTCTCTAGATACCTATGAATTAGGTATCTTGGGGACAACGAATCACTACACACTATACGATGGCCTTAGCCAGAAGGGGTGTGTGTGTGCACTGTCGTGTTTGATTGAAATAGGGTTAGAGAGATCAGTCATACATGTGGTCTTTAGCTCCTATTTATAAAATTTACCTTTCGGCTTGTGCTGGTTGGGTCTCTTGCTGGCATGGGCCTTTCCCAGGTCCATAACAATCACCATACGAATTTTATGGCTAATAAGGATACTCGATGTCAAAGTTCTTGGGTCAATTTTTATGATCATATACATTGTTTAAAAACTCGGATGAGGTCCGGCGTCGTGGGTTAAATTAAGAGGTTATGAGATTACTTCACTGATCCAGTTTTATACATTAAAAAATATATAAATATATATTTTATATGAAAAATTTAAAAAATTCAAACCATTAATCATCAAAGATTCAAAATATACTTAACATAATTCAACCAATTACATCTATAAGTCAATATTACACAAGTTAACAAAAGTATCAAACTATCAAAGTATAAACATATATTTGAATGGAGTTAATGAAAAGTTATATTATCAAACTCAGGCATTCCTTGTTCTTCTTATGCACTTACAACATCATCCCTTACCCAAGAGAGAACGACAGAGAAGAGGTGGTAGTGCGACGAAACAAAGTGGAGAGAGAAGAATTAGCACGACAGAGGAGAGAGAGAAGATCAGAGATGATAGGAGAAACCACCACCACGGTAGAGGAGATCACTATATCAGGGAGACTGCGTCTGGATCTGGGAGAGAAGATCAAAACAGAAAAAAAGATCGATTCAGATTTCAGATCTAGTTCTAGATCTAGGCAGCAACTAATTTTTTTTTTCTACACACCAAATGACGTCTTTTCTAAAATTATAGGGCGTTTGGTAGATGAGAAATTTTTTTATCCAAGAATCTCGATTTTCAGAAATATGATGAAAACATTCAGTTTACGATAATATCTGAAAAATAAAAACTTAGAAAAATTCAGTTTTCCGGGAATTCTACAAAATACTTTGTACCAAACGTCCCCTAAAGGTTATTTACAAATTGAGAAATAAATACTATATTATTATTTGCGAATTTATTTCTAATTTTTTAAAAATAATAATTATGAAGCTTTTTTTTCGGTAAACATTATGAAGCTTCCTTAATAATATATAGATTTGCAATTATAGACTCTTTATAGTAATTTTAATTAGAATTAGAACTAATAAAATTATTTTATCAATGACTAATTTATGGCTTTTTAAATTAATTTTTTTACTTCAATGTATCAAAATAAATAAATATCATTATATAATTGCTAAATAACTTAATTTTACTTTTAAATTTATTATTTTTAACTTATAAATTATGAGTTAAAAAAAATGAAGGCTTAACTAAAAAAAGCTCTGAACCCTAGACATGCAAAAGGTGGCGACTCGTGGTTTGATGGCGGATGAAACTGACAGTCTTCAACGACCGCTACTACAAAGAGTACTATACCCTTGATCGTGAAATATCGATTGCTTGTTGAACGCTGTGAATTGTGTGAAAGCGCCCCTCTATAAGAACGGTGTGTTCCAAGGTGTAAAGTGGGAGAAAAGGGATTTCATATTTTGATCAAAGTACATATTTTTCTTTGGATTTTTTCATTCTATCTATTCATTGAATAAGTGATGATCCAGCGGTTCAATTGAATAGTAATCAAAATAAATGTCCTACCAAGACATAATTTGTAACTTGCTATCCTCTTACCTAGCGGACACATATTTACCTCCGTGGAAAGGATGGTTCATTCGGATCGACATGAGAGTCCAACCACATTGCGAGCATAAATTAAAACATTCTGGAGCTACAAAGATGGTTATTAAATCATTAGCACCGCATAAAAACATTCCTCCTAGAAAGAAAGTCAAGGGGGGAGATGATGTCTTCTCTAATGATCAGACTTTATCTCAGAGAGATGAGGAATGAATGGATGGCCATACGAGTTTCAAAGAAGTTCTGATGAGACACAACGGTAAGTGAGGATATGAGGATGAGCAAGATCTGGAGGAGGAAGAAGTTACGATGGAGGATCAACAAGGAGATAAGTTGCAATGACCAGAGGTAACGATCGAGACTCTTAAAAATGGTAAGATAAATTTTAGGTTATCTGATGATTTCAAAAAAAAAAGGCGTGGAAATGGAGACAAACTCATATTGTTAAGCTTCTTGGAAAGAAAGTATTAGTAAACTTTATGGAAAAGAGGCTAGAAAATATGTGGGCAAGGGAATGGAGGATACATGTGACGGATATTGAGAATGATTATTACATGGTGAAATTTGAGAAGAAAGATGATATGGAATTTGCACTGTTGGCTGGACCTTGGATCATATTTGACCATTATCTGGCTGTCAGAATGTGGGAACCGGATTTCCAGGCGTAGCAGGCATCCATTAATAAGGTCGCTGCTTGGGTGAGATTGCCAGGGTTTCCTTTAGAGTATGTGAACTCTACCCTGATGCAAAGCATTGGTAACTAGCTAGGGAAGTTTGTGAGGTTAGATGCAGCGACTACGACACTTGCAAGAGGAAAGTTTGCTAGATTGAGTGTAGAGTTGGATATGAATCAACCATTGAAGAGTGAATATTATATTGAAGGGAGATATAAACAAGTGGAGTACGAGGGTTTGCATCTTATATGCTTTTGTTGTGGCAAGTACGGTTATAATTCTCAACATGCACCCTTGCTCCCAAGACTGATGAGAATTGTTTGAGGGAAGGAAACGATACAACAAGCATAGATGGTATCCAAGTTGACTCAAACAGAATAGAAGGAGAGGCTACATCGTCCAGTTATGGACCTTGGATGGTTGTGACAAGATCTCGAAGAGGAAGAACACAAAATGGGGAAAATGGAGCTACTCAGACAAATACAACAAAGGAAGACATCATGAGAGTTTCTACAGGTTTGAAACTGGTAAGTTCGAGTCAGTAACGAGGATGATATGATGGTCAGTGGGGAGATAGAGGAGGGACCTAGCAAACAAGGGTTTCCTTATCAGAATGTTACTATTAAAAAAAAATACATGAGAAAAAGTCAAGTTAGTGGAGACTGATTTTGAATTTCAACTGGTGTGGGAGGGGAAGGGTGGTAATACTGGTTACATGAAGGAACAAGTTTTAAAAAATAATGAGGTGGAAATTAAGAGGAATATACAAAGAGAAGTAAGGACAGTGCTGGAAAATAAGATTTATGTGGAGAACCCTATGGAGATTGATAGCTCTCATAATCGAACTCAAAATGTTCATTCTAGTCAGAATACTTTGAAGGATCCAATCATTGAGGATGGTGACCAAATGATGTCAGGGAATTCTACCAAGGAGATGGAGATTGAGAGGGAGCCTAGACCTCCTAATCCTGGCCCAAAATCCTTTTTAGTGGTGTATGAAATTGGAAAGGATTTAGCTGGAGAGAATGACAATGCAGTGATCTCAAACAGTACTGTGCAGGTGCATTCTCATCCTGCGTAGAATTTAAAACATATTTAATGTCGTTGATTTTTTGGAATTGCAGAGGTGCGGCTAAGTTTAAATTAGATCATAATCTCAAACTTTTAGTGGATAATCATAAGGTTTATTTAGTAGTTTTAATGGAAACAAGAACAAGCATAAAAAATTGTAGAAAACTAATGAGCGAGACCAATTTTGATAAAGCCATTTTTGAAGAAGCAAGCGAGTTTGCGGGTGGAATTTGGGTGATGTGGAATTTTAGTATAACTAAGATGGATATTATTAGCCAATCACGTCAGTATATTCACATGAGAATTGAAATTGAGAACTTTAGTAGCTTCCTTTGTACGGCTATTTATGCTAATCCTCATGAGGAAATAAGACATGAGATGCGGGAGGAAGTTAAAGACATGAGCATGTCAATCAGTGAGCCTTGGTTAATGGTAGGTGATTTCATTGATATAAGGAGTAGTAATGAAAAAATAGGTAGTTCGATTCCTAATTTTGTTAAATGTCAAAGGTTCCAAGCTTTCTTGGATAGTTGTCAGGTGGAGGATGTGGAATGTAAGGGTTCTAAATTTACATGGCAGGTGCCAAAGTGGAATCATCTGGATAGGTGTTCAAGAAGCTTGATAGAGTTTGTTCGAATGTGAGTTGGAGGCTAAAATTTGATGATTCTGAAGTTCAGATTCTTCCTAAAATGTTGTCGGATCATAATCCATTACTTCTATCCCTGAAAAGCCGAACGATGCACTGGTGTGATCATCCATTTAGATTCTTGGCTTCCTGGATGGATCATCCATGATATAGCAATCTAATGAAGGATAAATGGCAAGCAGAAATAGAGGTTAACCATATACTTTCTAATTTTACTCTTCATTTAAAAAAGTGGAATAAAGAAGTTTTTGGGAACATTAATAATAGAAAAAAGAAGCTTTCTCGGAGAATTGAAGATATTCAAATTCTAAGGGAACAAAGGGATAATCCGGGGCTTACGGAGTTAGAGGAGCATCTGCAGAATGATTTGAATATAACGCTGGATCAAGAGGAACTTAGTGGTTCCAAAAATCTAGGCACAAATGGATTGTAGATGGAGATAAAAACACTCAATTTTATCATCTCAAAACTGTAATGAGGAGGTGTAACAACAAGATATTAAAGCTTAAAAGTGATTCGAATTAGTGGATAACGGATCCCTTGGAGCTAAAAGCACATGTTTGCAATTTTTACAAAGATCTCTTTCTAAAGGAGCTGCCCATTCGTAGATAGATCAGCTCAGTAAATATGTGGCCTAATTTGGATCAGGATGAAATGAAAGCGTTAGTGGTTCTTCCTAGTGATTATGAGATATGGAAATGTCTATTTTAAATGAATGCCTTTAAAGCTCTAGGCATGGATGGTTATCCTGCAATTTTTTTCCAGAGACAATGGAGTAAAGTAAAAGCCCAAGTTTGCAATGCTATAAAACTTATGTGGTCTCATCCATCAGATCTGATTAATGATGTTAATTCCACTTTCTTGGTGTTGATTCCTAAATCTAAGAAACCAGACAAAGTTACTTAGTTTGAGCCAATCTCTTTATGCTTAGTCTTATACAATCTCTTGTCCAAGACTATTATTTCTCGATTTAAACAGGTGGTGGAAAAGATTATTTCTCCTTCTCAGGTTAGTTTTGTTCCAAATCGGCAAATACAAAATAATATTATGATTGTGCAAGAACTTATCCATTCAATGAATAAAACGAGAGGGATAAAGGCTTTTATGGCTATCAAAATTGATTTAGTCAAAGCTTATGACAGGGTTAGTTGGCAGTTTATGTGTCATACTCTAGAGGAGATCTGTTTTCTAGAAGCTCTTATTAATATTATTATGAAATGTCTGTCAACTAGTTGCATAAATGATATGTGGAATTGAGGGGAAACTGAGGATTTTACCCTATCAAGAGGTTTGCGCCAAGGGGATCCCCTTTCACCATATCTCTTTGTAATGGCCATGGAAAAATCAACACATATCATAACAACTGCAACTAATGGTGGTTTGTGGAAACCTATCAGAGCTGGTAGAGGAGGTTCAAAGATATCTCACTTAGCTTTTGCAGATGCCTTGATGGTGTTTATGGAAGCAAAGGAGGAGCAGATTCATACTCTTTTTAAATGTTTGAAGTTGTTTGAAGATATGTCAGGTGAAAGACTTAGTGTTGACAAAACTCGTGTTTTCTTTTCAAGAAATACTTCAAATGAAACTATTGATCGAATAACTTTCATTAGTGGTTTCAAACGTGTGAAAAAACATGGGGAGGTATCTAGGTGCAATGATGCAACATGGGAGAGCCTCAAAGAAGATGTATGAAAGGATAGTAGAAAGGGTTAGAGACAAAATGAGTAATTGGCAGCAACAGTGTTTGTCTGAAGCGGGTCGTATTACACTTTCTCAATCAGTCCTGTCAACAATTCCTTTCTTCCAGATGCAAAGCTGTAAGTTTCCCTCTTCAATGTGCCAAAACATAGAAAAAATACAAAGAGATTTCATATGGGGAGATACGAAGGATAAGCGTAGGCATCATTCTATTAGCTGGGATGTTATTACTTCTCTAAAGATTGAAGGAGGTCTGGGTTTGAAACGATTGGATCTCATGAATGACGCCTTTCTAGCTAAGAAAGCATAGAGATTGCATGTTGAGCCTCATCATCTTTGGGCCTAGGTGCTTTTTGCTAAGTATAAAACAGGGAGTAGGGCTGATTCTTCATTTGTGGCGCGAAAAAGAGATTCACCTCTTTGGAAAAATCTCTGTAGATTGTGGCATGATTTGAAGGAAAATTTGATTTGGGAGTTGGGGGATGGTAGAAATGTTCATTTCTGGAAAGATAAGTGGCTATCAAATTTAAGATCTTTAGATGAGTTAGCTACTGGTGAGGATATTCATTTCAATGGGAACCTTATGGTTGCTGATGTGGTTAATGGTAATGGTGAGTGGGATTTTAATATGATGAATACTTGGTTTCCTAGCAGTATTTTGGATAGGATTCGAAGCACCCTTCCTCCTTGTCTGGATGATGGACCTAATAGAAGTATGTGGCAACTCGGCAAGTGCACCGATCGTTAAGTAATAAAAGTGTACCGGAGTACGAAATCGTTCCCACGAGGATTGAATTTCAAACACTAGTTCGCTAATCGCGGTTTAGTTGGACAATCAATATTTAGATGAAGAAAATTGAAATTAAAAAGAAAACAATTAATAACATGCAATTTAAAATTCAGAATAAAAAAAAAAAGCAATTGGAAAGATGATTGATTTAAAGATTAAAAACAAGTGTAGTTAGGGTTTCGACTTTCCCCAATCTCCTCTATATGCTATGAATTAAACTGTCAAGAATATGCTCTTAATATAATGCCAATCAATTCTTTCTAAGTTAATTAGGGATCAATTTCTTGTTACCCTAAATCTATGTGATCTTGAAAGAACTCTAGTTCCCCGATTATTCTCCAAGAAAACATGCATTAAGATCAAGAAGTTAAAGATTGCACAATTGCCCTATGTCTATCCCTAGATCACAAGGATTGTGATAAATTAATCAAATCAGGGTTCATGCACCAACATCCCTATTGTCATACAATTCCCCTAAATCAATCTATAAGGAGCAAACTCATAGAAAACATTAAAGACAGATAAATTTATTCAAATACAAAAAGAAAAGGATTCAGAGACAACTTAATTCAAAGCATAAGGATTCAATTGGGTTCCATCTACCCCTAACTACAAAAAAACTTAGCCTAGCATACTGAATTCAAAAGCAATAATAAAGAAAATAGTTCCCCAAGACTCCATTGGTGTGATGTTGACTTGGTTCCCCAGTGCTCCAACGCTCCGCAACAGGATTCCTTCTTTGGATCTCTGTGTATTTCCCGTGGTGTGTCTGTGAATGGTTGAATTCCATTGACCCCAAACTCCCTATTTATAACCTTTGAAGTCATATCTTTTATTTCTTCATCAAATCTCCCAATGAATCTCTATCAATTCCCAATCAAATCTTGATTTGTTTATGTTTTTATTTAAGATCTTGCAGATTGGGCTGACTGGGCTTGCATTGGTTTCTTTTGGTTCAGATTGAGCTTCAAATATTTTGTTATGATTCTTTGATCACTTCTTAGCACCAAATCTTGTGAATTTACCTTCAAAACATGCAAGATATCAAAACGTTGGCTCAATTTTCAAATCTTTATGATTTTATCATATAACACATTGAATTCCATGCAATCTACCATATAATTCTTGTAGAATTTAGCATAAAAACATGGTAAACCAAGGGTTTATCAAAGTATGTGGTGTTTCCTTGATTCTAATACAATTTCGGCGAGTGAAATTTATAAATTCTTTACTGCTTATGGTTATTTAAATGATAATTTTGCTAAGAATCGGCTGAGACTTTGGTGTTGGAATGGCCCTCAGAGAATAAATTCTTTTGCATGGAAGATGGTGCACCAACGGTTAATGACAAAGTGTTTAACTGCTAATTGGAATGGAGGAGTCAGTCTTTGTCCATGTTGCTCTACAGAGAATGAATCACTTTTACATTCTCTAAGAGGGTTCCAACGCTAAGTGTTTGGGAGTTGATTTTCCTAAATAATCTGCAATCGGGTTTCTTTAATATGGATATTGTTTCATGGCTTGCTTGTAATTTTGGAGTGGATGCAAATTACAATGTTACAGAAGGTTGGATATCTATGTTTCTTATCACTTGTTGGAAGACTTGGGAATTGAGAAATAAAGTCAACCAGGGAGAGATAGTTCCTCCACTCGATATTAAAATTGAAACTATTATGAAGTTTGTCCAGGATGTGCAGTTAGCTACAAGTATAAGGAAGTCTCGTGTATTAGCTATATGTAGTCATTTAAATATAACCTGGCAGTTCCCAGATGATAGGTTTGTAAAGATAAATACAGATGGTGCAGCGCGTGGAAATCCAGGTTTAGCAGCTTGTGGGGGTGTGGTCCGTAACACCCAAGGTAGTTGGTTGGTGGGATTTACATATAGACTGGGGTTCTGTACAACATTTAGAGTTGAGCTTTTGGGGTATCTTGCATGGTTTAGAGAAGGCGTGGAATGTTGGATTTAGGAAAATAATTCTGGAAAGTGATTCATTATTAGTGATCACTGGGCTCACCAAGAGAGGTGTAGCAGTCCGTGAGATGCGTTTGTTGTCTCGAATACGGACATGGATTGATAGAGATTGGGAAGTTAAGCTTCAACATACTTTTAGAGAAGACAATATGTGTGTTGACTGGCTGACAAATTATCTACTTGATTTGTCTGTGCAAGAGGACCAGATACTCTTTGAGGAATCTCCGGGTGGAATTCGCCTGTTATTCTTGGCTGATTTTGCTTTAGTGGGGAGAGATCGCATTGTATCTCTTCCTTCGTAGTTTTTCTTTTTTGTTATTTCTTTCTTGTTGGGCTTAGGTCTTTTGTTTACCAAAAATAAAATAAAATAAAAACTAAGCCAAACAAAAACATATTGTTATCTTTCTTGAATATACATAAAAAAAATTGTGTTTTTGATTTTAGCATGGATCACAAATCGAATTATCCAAACCTAAAAAAATTCTTCTCTTGCTTAATGCTCTCACATGTAATAGTCTCACATGTTTTCAGTGCACCCTATCTCTTTCATACGTGGTTAAGAGAAGAATTTGTTTTGACATGAGAAAAATATTATACTTTTAAAATTCAGGTTTGAATTATAAGACCCTTTAATATGAATTATATATGTATATCAAAATAAATATTATTATTTTATACAATTTGTTTAAAATATACAATAAAAAATATTATTTATTTAAAAAAGAGTCAAAACATCTTGAATCTTCACCATAGTAGTTAAAATTCTGATTTAATATATACTTTTATAATTTTATGATTTTTAATTAAAATAATTTTATCAAAATTTCAAATGTTCTTACATTTTTACAAATTTTTTTACCTTAGAATTTTAAGTTTTATAATTTTTTTTTTTTTTTTTTTTTTTTTTTTTTGGATTTTTGATAAAGTCCCGATTTTAACTGCTATCTATCTATCTTTTGGCAACTCAACCAAACGCTTCTCAGTGGCCAACAATGTCGGAAGGTGGTGGCGGTGAGTGCAGGTATTCATGTGAGACCGCTTCCGAAACCCTCGCATGGATCAACGACATCATCCACTTCATTACGCCTTTCTCCTTCTTAATCAATTCTCACGTCGTCAATTTCTTCAAGGTTCCTCTCCATTCATTCATTCATTCTTCTCAGACTAGTTTAGATTATGCGAGAAAAAAGTGATTCTATTTTTTAAATAAAATGAAATATAAACCAACGGTTACGATTGAATTTCAGGATAGACTATGGGAGAATGTTAACGCGGAATGGATCGATTGCTTGCGCGGTGAACCTGTTCAGAATCTTCTCTTGATACCTTCTGGAGTTGTACAGGTTTTTTTACTTCATCATCTTCTTTTATCTCTCTAATTTTTAATGGATTTTTTTTCCTTCAATTTCTTTGGAATCTACGTTTAGTATTTAGTTATTTGTCTGATAGGATTTGGCGATTATTTTATAATTTTGTGTGTAGCAGAAAATATACCTAATTGTGTAGTGAGGTGTTATATGAGTGATGATCTTATGAAATTCTATTAAGAGTATTAGAACAATAGTAGCAATCTGCTGCAATTGATACTAGATCAGTCCTTCTTCTTCTGTTCAGTTTGTTATAGTTTGTTGCATGCTGACTCAGCTTGTTGGTTATTTCAGTTTTAAGCTGAACTGTATTGGTTAGTTAGTTTCTTTGCTGGCATTGCTAAGCATTTAGCAAGCTTATGTAAGTCTATAAATTCAATTCTGCTATTGCAGAGATGATGCAACAATCATAATCAAGTTCAAAAAGCTCAATGTTCACATTCTCTCTCTCTTTCTCTTTCTTGTACTTTCTATCCGTTTCTATGAAATTGTGGGACTGTTCATGTGACATTCTTAGACACAGTTATAAACCATGGAGGCCGTGGTTTTTTGATTATTGTATGATTATTCTTGATGGAAGGACCATCTTGTTGGTTGTGCTTCCTTTTATCCTTTGGTTCATCGCGTCTTAGGTGCATTGCTGGTTCTTGACTTTCCATGTGTTATCAGTTTATGTTCGTCCTTGTTAATTGGAGGGAAACTTCTTCGTTATGTTCGCTTCTTGGTCTTGCTGGGTTCTGTTTGGATTTCTTCTGGACTCAAGTGTATATTGGAAGGTTTGGGCTTGGGATCCTTCCTGTGTTTTTTTCTTGCAAATCTCTGTTCTCCTTCCTGGCTTTTTAAGTCTTAAATTTAGTTTTTAATTTGGACCACTTTACTTAATTTGTTTATTAGTTGCTACTTGTTATTTTGTGTATTGTGTTTATTGTAGTTCTGAAAGCTGTTGTCATTTTTCATTAAACTGCTAAGTAGCTTGGTGTGTTCTATATAGTCTCTTTGGCACTTTCTGTGGGTCTAGGTTGTCTCCTGCAACTTTGGAATAGGTTTTGGTAGTATCAAGGTGGAAAAGCCTCTTTTTTTGTTGTGCTTTATTTGTCCTATTTGGTGTATTTGGCTGGGGTATTAGGCTGCGGATTTTAAGCTGAAGTTTCGGGAACAGACTAATTTATTTGACTTTTATGGTATTCAGTCAATGATTATTTTTACTTTTTTAGAGGTTTTCTTAGACTGGTACACAGCAGGATTGGAGGTATTTTTTTGTATTCAAGTTTTCCTCTTTTTATGTTTGTCCATTTTGTCCTGTTTGCTTCTTTCGGACTTCTGAGGATACCTTATTTTCTATTTTAGTATGCTTATTTTCTCCTTTGTTGGCGGCAGGATCAGTGGCCAACTTCTCTGAAGGAGTTCATCCTAAAATTAAGGTCTATGGTATTTCGTCAAGAACAAGCAGATTTAAACATGGTACATAATCTTTACTTAGTGATTAACCTTTACCTTTGTGAAATCTGGGCAAGATCTTGCTGATTGAGATTTAATGAAGATTTCAATGTTGTTGATTGATAATAGTGATGGACAAGGACAAGGCTTATACATTCTGTTTGGGTAGTTCTTACTTATATCATGTGCAACAGAATACAAGGATGACAGTTGGGGGTATAAACGAGACAACTGACAATGCATATTGTTCATTTGTCCTGTGCAACTTTTAGTGTGAAATAATCTCAATTGTACTATTTTTGCACTGAATTTCTCATTCCCTTTCCTTTTGAGCCAATAAAAACTTAGTGACAACAAATATCCTTAATCTTTCAATTGCTTGGCTATATCAATCCAGTCAAAGTGCAATCCTTCATGTTAATTATCTTTTGATAATATTCTTTGGTCAATTGATTTAATATGACCATATTTTGAACTTTATTTTTTGCTCAATGGCAATTCATGTAGGTTCAAAATAATCGTGAAGAATTTTTCAGAATTTAATAATAAGAAAGACGATTTGAAGACTTAATATGCTTTTTGTTTTCAAGTTATATTTATCTGGGACCTCTGTTTGAGAGGGTCTTTGGTAGGAAACCACTCATCGCTAGGGTGTATGGTAGGAGGGGGCGTAGAGGACTGAGTTTCTTTCCCATGCTCTGTATAACTAATTTGTGTGGAAGAAGATTTAGGAAACCTTTTACAGTTATATGGTTGCTTAATAGAATATATAAGGTTAGTAGGGGAAGAGGAGAGGTATCTTTTGTATTGGGCTATTGGTATGGTTTTGGGAGAGTCGAAAAATAATCTGGGATTACATTTTCTTCTTCCTTCTATTTTGTTTTCTCCTTAATTTTAATGTTCTGTTGTATGAACTTTCCATTACAGTAATATAAATCCCACCATCTTCCTCTGTTCCTTTTCTATCTTTCTTTTAGTATTTGACCTGATCTTATTAGTCTTTGATTGTGTGGTCTTGATGCGTAAATTTGTTTTGATCGTTGCAGGCATTGCCTGGCCTACAGATGACTTCACTTAACAGTGTTCTTGCCCAGGGCATGAATGTAAAGAAAAGACATGAAGTGAGTCCTTGTTTTTCACATTTTTTATAATTGCCTTCTTTATGAATTTACAAGATGTTGTCTTGGACTTGAGGTTTTAGCCAAGAAAATCTTGAGTCTTAGATTTCATTTTCTTTTTTATCGAGAAATTTATTGGCCTTCAATACCTCATAAAAAAAGAATTTCATGTGCACAGGTAGAAGTTCTTTCTGCTGTTGTAAGTACAGTTGCAGGCGGTGTCAGAGCTCATGCTATTGTTGATGTTGGTGCTGGTCAGGTGAGGCTTCATTTCCTTTTGCTTAAGTTCTGTAAGGCAAGATGTTGAACCTAGTTCTGTTTGGCAAGTTGAGTGACATTGCATAGTTAGAAGTAAGTATCTTGTTTTGAATCCTAAGGATGGAGTGATAGTTGCCTCAATGTAAAAAATGAGGGTCTATTTTGGTTGAATAGTGAGCAAGGTTTTGCTTTTATTTATTGATGCTTTCGGTGTAAGCATTTACTACTTTGTTGTTTGCATTAGATCCCTGTGTGTCAAAAAATGAAAGTCTGTATATTGTTTGACCAACCAGCATAATTTGCAACTTCATTTAGTGATAATTTAGTCTGTGCATTTACTGCTTCGTTGTTTCCATTAGATCCCTCAGTGTCAGAGATGAAATTCTGCATGTTGGTTGAGAAGTGAGCATAAATTTTGCTTTTATTTATTGATGCTTTCGGTGTAAGCATTTACTACTTTGTTGTTTGCATTAGATCCCTGTGTGTCAAAAAATGAAAGTCTGTATATTGTTTGACCAACCAGCATAATTTGCAACTTCATTTAGTGATAATTTAGTCTGTGCATTTACTGCTTCGTTGTTTCCATTAGATCCCTCAGTGTCAGAGATGAAATTCTGCATGTTGGTTGAGAAGTGAGCATAAATTTTGCCTACATTTGTGATAATTTTGTCTGAACTTACTTCTTTTTGTTTTCTTATTGAAACAACTATTTTTTTTTCTATTTTTATTTATATGTTCCCTCAATTTTTTCTTGCTTTTTATTTAGATTCATCGACCATTGACTCCAACTAAATTGGGATAAAGTTGATGTTGATGATATTTTATTTATGTTTGCTGCCTATAATTTTATGTTGTATTTTAGGGTTATCTTGCGCAAGTGCTTGCCTTTCAATATCAGCATCCTGTCATTGCAATTGATGCATGCTCTCATCATGGGATTGTTACTGATGCACGGGCAGAACGAATCAAAAAGCACTATGCATCACAGATGGTAAAATCTGGGTACGTTCTTATTTACCGCAATTAATGGAATGTGTTAGAAATAATATTAATTTATTATTATTAGAATAGTCTAGAATAGTCTAGATTGTGGGCTTGGCCCATTAGGTCATCCCATTAGGTCTTTTAGTCTCTATAAATAGAGAGCCTCCTTGTACAGACTTACACACTTGAATATACAATATATTTCAGATTCAATTTGGTATCAGAGCTCTCGATCTGAGGGCTCTGCTTCCGCATATATATCTTTTCCTTTCTTTTTACTGCCGTGCATCAATACCGGCAACCATCCTTTCACACCTAACCCTTATTTAGTCACAAATTACTTGTCCTCAACCTCGTTTCATCAGGAAAAAGATCGTCAGCCTCCGTTCATCGCCGGAAACCGCCACAAAACCACCGTCCGGCCACCGTTCCAGGTCGGACCACCACCATCTTGCTCGCCTCCTCACCCTCTTTCCAGATCTAGTCTCCGTTCGTTGTGGGTCCCATCCGCTTGAAAGATATTAGTGAAAAAACCCGTTGTTTGGACACTTTTGTGCAACGTTTTTGCGCGATTTCTTGCTTTCTTGTAGTTCTTTGCTATTTTCTGGTCATCTCCTTTTATTTTGTGATGGAGGGCTCAAATAATGCGTCCAAAAACACGACTGGCATCATCTCCGGTACTACCCCATCTCCATTCTTTTCTCGGGCCAATGATTCCAATTAGAACAGTGGACGCGGTCGCAGACGTGGCCGCAGACAGAGGCCTCGTTGCAATTATTGCCAGAATCTTGGGCATTTTGAAGAACGCTGCTATAGGAAGTACCCTCATTTGAAGCCACCGTCTGCCAAATTTGCTCAAACTGATGTTACGCCACCTTCAACTGGATTAGTAACTCTTTCAAGTGCCGACTATGAGGCACTTCTCAAGAAGGTTTCTTCTCAGCATCCTACTCAAGACACTGGTAATCATGTTGCTTGTTTTTATCAATCATCTCTTGGACCCTGGATAATAGACTCAGGTGCTACTCATCATCTTTGCGGTAATAAAGATCTCTTCACTTCACTTTCTTATTCTAATAACCTACCCCCTGTCACTCTTGCTGATGGCACTAAGGCTCCTGCTCGTGGAATTGGGGAAGCCAACCCAACTCCCCTTTTAACTTTGAGTTCTGTTTATTATATACCTGGCATTCCTTTTAATTTAATCTCTGTTAGCCAGTTGATTCATTCTCTTTCATGTACTATTACCTTCTCTTAACAATCCTTTTCTATGCAGGATTCGGGTACGGGGAAGACGATTGGAGCAGGCGTTGAGTCACGAGGTCTCTACTATCTGATTGCACCACCTTCTCCAGTAGCCTGTTCTCTCACAGAGTCTCCTGAGCTAATTCACAGCCGTCTGGGTCATCCAAACCTCTCCAAGCTTCAGCATATGGTTCCCTTTTTATCCAATCTTAAGTCTTTAAACTGTCATTCTTGTCAGCAAGGAAAACACACTCGCTCCTCTTTTGCTAATAGAGTCAATAAAAGAGCTGATGCTCCTTTTTCTATTGTTCATTCTGATATCTGGGGTCCGAGTCGAACAACGTCTGTTTTGGGTTTTCAGTATTTTGTCACCTTTATTGATGATTTCTCCCATTGCACTTGGGTTTATTTAATGAAAAATCGTTCTGAGTTATTTTCAATTTATCAAAAGTTTTGTGCAGAAATAAAAACTCAATTTGGTTCTTCTATTCAAATCTTGCGCAGTGATAATGCAAAAGAGTATGTGTCTCTTGAATTTTCTAAATTTCTGGATACACAAGGGACGATACACCAGACTACCTGTCCCCACACTCCACAACAAAATGGAGTCGCTGAACGTAAAAATAGACATCTAGTTGAAACTGCACGTACCCTTCTCATTCATATGAACGTCCCACTCTGTTTTTGGGCAGATGCTATTATCACCTCATGTTTCCTTATCAACCGCATGCCCTCTTCTGTGCTAAATAATGATGTTCCCCACAGTATTTTGTTTTCCGGAGCACCTTCTTATCCTCTGCCTTTACATATTTTTGGCTGTACTTGTTTTGTTCATGATCTTACTCCAGGCAAAGACAAGTTGACATCCAAGGCCTTCAAATGTATTTTCCTTGGGTATACACGTTTTCAAAAAGGGTATCGTTGCTATTCTCCTGATCTCAAGCGTTATATCGTTTCTGCTGATGTCACTTTCCTTGATCAGCAGCCTTTTCACTCTACTCCGTCTCCAGTGTCCCAAGTTGATCAGGTCCTTCCTGTTCCTTTTCTTGACTTGTCTTTACCAGCTGCAGGTGACCCTATTCCAGAGGAGCAACCAATTACCTCCATACCTGCAGATCGTCCTCTCCTCACATACCAGCGTCGTCAGCCTGCACCTCCTCCGACTTTGCCTCTTGATGACTCATCGCCCTTTCCTGTCGGCTCTTCTCCTCCGGATCCTCCATCAGAGACTCCTCCCATTGCCCTTCGGAAAGGTATTCGATCCACTCGAAATCCTCATCCCCTTTATTCTTTCTTGAGTTATGACAGACTTTCTTCACAACATTTTACTTTTGTTTCTAGTCTCTCTTCTGTTTCCATCCCTAAAATCACAGGTGAAGCACTATCTCATCCAGGGTGGCGCCAGGCGATGCTTGATGAAATGCAGGCACTTCACTCCAATGGCACTTGGGATCTTGTTCGTGCTCCTCCCGGGAAGTCTGTTATTGGTTGTCGATGGGTGTTCACAGTTAAAGTTGGTCCTGATGGCACTGTTGATCGCCTTAAAGCTCGCTTAGTGGCCAAGGGATACACACAGATCTTTGGTCTTGATTATGGGGATACCTTTTCTCCTGTTGCTAAGATGGCTTTTGTTCGCCTGTTTCTTGCCCTTGCCGCCATTCATCACTGGCCCCTTCTCCAACTTGATATTAAGAATGCTTTTCTACATGGTGACTTGCAGGAGGAAGTTTACATGGAGCAACCACCAGGTTTTGTTGCTCAGGGGGAGAATTCTGGAATGATATGTAAACTTCGGAAATCTTTATATGGCCTGAAGCAATCTCCTCGGGCCTGGTTTAGCCGTTTTAGTTCAGTTGTTGAATCCTTTGGATTAATCAGAAGCAAAGCCGATCATTCTGTCTTTTACCGGCATAGCTCTTCTGGACAGTGCGTTTATCTCCTGGTCTATGTTGATGACATTATCATTACAGGCAGTGATCAGACCGGGATTGATCAGTTGAAAGAGCATTTATTCAATCAATTTCAGACCAAAGATTTTGGCAGACTTCGATATTTCTTGGGGATCGAAGTTGCACAGTCTAGGCGGGGCATTTCCATCTGTCAGAGGAAGTATGCACTGGATATCCTAGATGAGACTGGCATGGTAGGCTGTAAACCCATTGATACACCTATGGACCCCAATGTTAAGTTATTACCAGGACAGGGGGAGCCACTGCCAGATCCTAGTCGCTACCGCCGACTAGTTGGAAAATTGAATTATCTTACTGTGACAAGGCCAGATATCTCCTTCGCAGTGAGTGTTGCAAGTCAATTTCTTGATTCTCTCTGTGACTCCCATTGGGATGCAGTTATTAGAATTCTCCGATATATTAAAAAGGCGCCAGGAAGAGGTTTATTATATACAAATAAAGGGAGTTCAGAGATCTCTAGTTATTCAGATGCTGACTGGGCAGGTTCTCCTTCAGATAGACGATCCACCTCAGGGTATTGTGTTCTCTTCGGAGGAAATTTGATCTCTTGGAAGAGTAAGAAGCAAACTGTGGTCGCCAGATCCAATGCGGAGGCAGAATATCGGGCAATGGCAAATGCAACCTGCGAGCTCATCTGGCTGAGTCAATTGCTGAAAGAACTCCATCTCTGTGAATAAAGGCCTATGAAGCTCATTTGTGACAACCAAGCCGCTTTGCATATATCCTCTAATCCAGTCTTTCATGAGAGGACCAAGCATATAGAAATTGACTGTCATTTTGTTAGAGAAAAGATCCAGTCAAGGGAGATCGAGACAGCATTTGTCAATTCCAATGATCAACTTGCGGATGTATTCACTAAAGCTCTTAGAGGTCCCCGAATAGATCATATTTGTAACAAGCTGGGAGCTTTTGATATATACGCACCAGCTTGAGGGGGAGTGTTAGAAATAATATTAATTTATTATTATTAGAATAGTCTAGAATAGTCTAGATTGTGGGCTTGGCCCATTAGGTCATCCCATTAGGTCTTTTAGTCTCTATAAATAGAGAGCCTCCTTGTACAGACTTACACACTTGAATATACAATATATTTCATATTCAATTGAATGTGACTTTATGTTAGGGAGTACGTACAATCTTCTTAAGGATGTTTGTTATGACTAACAGATATATGATAAGGCAAGAAGTGAGCATTTTACTCCTTAGGAATTCCAGGCATAAGTTTCAATTTTCATACTATGAATATATTATTTAAAAAAAAAATTATATGAGGATGATATTACGTGTATGTTTAGGAGGGTAAATGCAGTTCAAATATGCCTTGGTAGTTGTTCAAATTGGCCTTGTTGTGATTTTGATCTCTATGGTTTATTATTATTATGAGAACTCATTTGTGTGTTATTTGTTTTGCTCTAGATCAGGTATGCGGACTTTGAATGTGCCAAAGACAATCACGTGCTGTGTGTTGTCGATTGACACATTGAAAACCTTGGTTGAAACATCTTTGCCTGGAAAAGATGTTGAGCAATCCGGGTTGAAGGGAGGAAATCAAGAAGATCAAGGGAAACTAAATTGGCCCAGTGATGCAAACAAAAAACCTTCAACTGTTCTTGCTGGGCTTCATGCCTGTGGTGACCTTTCAGTGACTATGCTGAAGTGAGTTTCAAAATATGATTGAGCCTCTTTTTTTCAACTGTGCTTTCTAACTGATATATCAACTGTTTCTAATTTCTTTAAATCTGGATGTCATAGTTGACTAACATCTGATTCATTACATAGTTTCTCGCATTAAAGTTCATTTTTTATTTGCAGTTAATCACACCATTAATTTTATTGCTGGTTTTTCTCCAATAACAGCCTGTTTTATAGCATTGCCATTGTTTCTGTCTATGCTACTTTATTATGCATAATCTACATTCTACAGACTTGTAATTCTTCCAATCCTTTCTTTATTAGGACTTTCTTAGAGTGCAAAGATGTTAAAGCTATTGTTAGTATTGGTTGCTGTTACAATTTACTATCTGAAGAAAGCATTGGGGATGGTGGATCTCTATGTGGATTTCCAATGAGTCATGCTGTAAGATCCACTGGCTTATCACTCGGAAAAAGTGCACGTGATCTTGCTTGCCAGGTACATGATCTTTTTGGTTCCCCCCTTCTACTTACTGGCATGCCTAAATGTTGAGATATATAAAACCATTAATGTAGCCTCACTCAATAGCTTAAGCTTTTGGGTTGACTTGGTTCTTTACATGGTATCAGAGCCTCGGTGTATCGGGTTTGATCCTCACCGCCCCTCACTTTCTTTCTAGTGGAATTTCTTTCTTCGCATAGGTAGGTGGGTCTGTGCATCGTCCACCCTTCAAGCCCAGTGGGCTCTCGTGTGAGAGGGCGTGTTGAGATATATAAAACCATTAATGTAGCCTCACCCAATAGCTTAAGCTTTTGGGTTGACTTGGTTCTTTACACTAAAGGGAGGGTAAATAGTCAGAATGTCATGTGGTGTGACAGACCAGGAAAGAAGAATATTCTTCCTGATAATTATGGATTTAGTATTTATAGTGCAAGCTAAGATTTTTCAGACTTCATGACCTTCCAGCCTAATCTCTTAGAAATTCCAAATTCCAATTCTTAAACTACAACTTCCTAGGTACAACTTACACGAAAGCATGTTACGAGAAACAATTCCCAAATTGTAATCTTTGACACTTAGTGCTAACGCAAGCCTGTTAGGAGTCCTTGGGCCTTACGAATAAGACACTAGAACACTTAATTAACATAAATCTGTCCTAAAATGCTACCCATGAATAGAAGCCACAAAAGTTAAATAAAATATCTTGAAATAATAAAGATAACTCCACTATTAGTTATTTTCTATTCTGCTGCTCTTGTATCAATTCCCTTGGGGAGGTGAGAAACTTGGCCCTCACGAGAAAGTTTTGTAGTCATATATAACATAGCAATAATAGTTCTCTGATACACATCTTGCGAAAGTTGAACTTCCAATTCAGCAATGGATTCTTCATCAAAAACATTGGTTTCTTTATTTTCCCATAAATTCAAATCATTTAGTTTGCCCATGATTGGAAAAAAAGTTTGGGTCATTTGACAGATGAATATATTAAGAACATTTGAGAATCCAGACAGCATTACTAGCCATTCAAACAAAGCATCTGTTCTACGTTAGATGTTCTTCTCTTGACTTGTCTCTTAATAGCCATAGCAAAACAAAAATTGAGAAGAGAATATCACCAAGTTGTCCATCATTTGAATGAACTAACAAAAGATATCCAAGAGGAAGTGCCATGGTGTATGCTTTTTGCAGACGATATTGTGATTATTGATGAGACCAAGGCCGGTGTTAATGAAAAAGTAGAATTGTGGAGGAGCACGTTGGAGTCTAAAGAATTTACGTTAAGCAGAAGCTAGACTGAGTATATGAGGGTGAGTTTTCTCTGGTAAGAGATAGAGATCAAGATTTTGTGCATCTGCTTGAACAAGAGGTACTCAAGAAGGATGCTTTCAGATATCTTGGATCAATTTTGCAAAAAGGTGGAGAGATTGATGAGGATGTAAATCATAAAATCAGAGCAGGGTGGATGAAATGGCGTAGTGCATCTGGGTTTTTGTGTGACTGCAAAATTCCCCTTAGATACTCCCTGCAATGTTATATGGAGCTGAATGTTGGCCAGCAGATAGGCAACATGAGCATAAAATAGGAGCAGCGGAAATGAGGATGTTAAGGTGAATGAGTGATTATACGAGGATGGATAAGATAAGAAATGAAGATATCCGACGAAAGGTGGGAGTAGTACCGGTGGAGGAAATATGAGAGAACATAGATTGAGGTGGTTCGGACACGTAATTAGAAGGCCCCAAGATACTTTTGTAATCAATGTTGTTAAAACGTATAGTCTACGTAGAAACGGTAGGGGTGAGCAAAAACGTAAAACCTAAGATTTTACAACGTACAAAATATATATATCCAACATATATAAAACTGTTAGAAATAATATTGTATTAAATAGTATTGTATATTTATTATTCTGTTATTTTAGCAGGTTATTTGGGCTTGGCCCATTAGGTCTTTTAACCTCGAGGACTTTTGTACAGTTCTAAATACAATTGAATACAATACATTCATACATTCTAACATGGTATCAGAGCCTCGGTGTACTGGGTTCGATCCTCACCGCCCCCCACTTTCTTTTTAGTGAAATTTCTTTCTTTGCACAGGTAGGTGGGCTGTGCATTGTCCACCCTTCAAGCCCAGTGGGCTCTCATGTGAGGGGGCGTGTTGAGATATATAAAACCAATTAATGTAGCCTCACCCAACAACTTAAAATTTTGGGTGAATTGGTTCTTTACAATGGTGAACACTTAATTAACATAAATCTGACCTAAAATACTAGCCATAAACAGAATCCATGAAAATTAAACAAAATACCTTGGAATTAAAAATATAACCCCACCACTAGTTATTTTCTTTTCTACTGCTCCTGCGTCACTTGGGGTTAAGATGAGGAATACCAAAATGCATTGTAGCTCATTTAAAGCCAGAGGGGCAATTCTGCATAAATAGAAATTGCAATTATTGATCCTGACTTTTCCCTCCAGTCTAATTTTTGTGAATTTGCTGTTTTCTTAGTTCATACTTGTAACGATTGTTCATAATACTATTTAAGTTTTAACTTAAAAGTCATGTGAGAGATTTTGAATTTAAACATCATAGTCATGTGAGAGAAATTTACTGTATTATTTTATCTTGTTAGAGTGCAGAGAGATGGAGGAGCCTGGATATGCATGCTGGCGTTCACAACTTCGAGTTACATGCATTTCGTGCTGCTTTTCAAATGGTACCAAATCATAACTTAGTTTTGTTGTATGTTATCTGTAACTTCCATTGTTTCAACGCTTGTCATCTTACTTTTAATATGAATATTAAAGAAAAATGTAGTTGGCGATTTAATGTTGTTTTTCCTGATGCACATGAATTTTAAAATGTACTAAAATAACTAATTTAATGAGACTGTGATATCCAATTTATCTAACCAGACAAGATCAACTTTGCTTATAAATCTTATTTTGGATGTCATACGATGAGATGATTATAAATTTGTAATGCTAATCACATATTCTGCCTTCCATAAAATTTCTTTTATTGGAAATTGATTTATATTTGATAAATTTAAATAGTGATACTTGGTTAATATTCATATGTAGAATATGGAGATACATTAATTCTGAAACTTAACCTCAGAAATTATTCTCTCTCCCATCATTGAGCCTTTTTTTTAGTGATTAAAGGATCTTTCTTTCAAGTTTATTTCAACTTTCAGGGTGGAGCATAAATTCTTTGTATTTATATTTTAAAAGTTTTTCCTGAAATAATAATATATTGTTGGTTTCACAGATTGGGGTTTTGGTGGTAGTCTACAATGTCGTTACTGCCTCTATGGTAATCGAGCTTGGATTTTATTTGTTTTGGGGAATGAAAATACAAACGAAAGTACCTTTTTCTGTTATATAGTTAATTATCTTATGGTATTAATTTGCAAAGAGGAAATTCTGGATAGTTCTAATGTCTAGTATTGCTTGCATCAAAAGACTTTGTTGTGATTATCTTTGCCCAAATTTGATTTTGAATATTTGTTTTTTGTATGGTGGAAAACGGAATAATTTTTAAGCAAATGTGTTTTTACCAATTTTTCTGTTTTGGGAGGTTTATAATATTAAGTTCCTTACGTTGTCCACAAGTGTTTTATGCAGATTCTCTTAGACTGATGTTCAAATCGATTGGAGTGCTCTATTTTACTGATGGCTTTTCTATTTGCTAATTCTCTTTGTCTTTTTATGTTGCACATAGGAGTATGTCTCGTTCCTCCTTCCTTTAATATTTTCCTTTTCTTTCATGTCTTCCTTATACAAAAAGACAGTAAAAAAATTTTGTCCACTTGTTTTATATAAATATATTTACATATATATATCATGATTTTAATTTGGATAGACAACATTGTTCATGTTTGGATTTAATGAAATTTCATAGAATAATTTAGCTTTAAATTTTTTGAATTAAACAAGACACGGATAAATGCACAAAAATTTGTTGGCAAGGGCTTAGCCATTTTCATCATAATAGTGTACTGTATATGTTTTTACCATGTCTTTCTTTTTTATGTGAAAGAGCATATATGTGTTCTTATTGAAAAAGGTTTTCAGTATATCGATATTTAATAATTACATGAGAAATGAGGAGTATTTATACAAGAAAAAATAGCTAAGCATGACTCAGCTATGACTCACCAAACCTAATCACAATCATAAGAATGACTCAGCTATGACTCACTAAACCTAATCACAATTAATTCTAATTAATTACAATTAATCCTAATTAATAAGAAATAAAAAACAATCAATCCTAATTAATCTTAATTATTCCTAATTAATAGGAAATAAAAACGGAAAAATATTTGAATTTGAATTCTGATTTTCTACACTCCCCCTCAAGTTGGGAGGTAAATGTTGATCATTCCCAACTTGCCAATCAAGTCTTCAAAGGCTGGCCGGTATAGGCCCTTAGTGAGAATATCTGCAATCTGCTCTTTGGTAGGAATATACACCATTCATACACTTCCATCATCTATTTTTCCTTTGATAAAGTGGCGATCAACCTCCACATGTTTTGTTCTGTCATGGTGAACTGGATTTTGAGCAATACTGACAGCAGCCTTATTATCACAATACACTCTGACATGTAGGGAAAAAGAGATCTTCAATTCCTCACGGAGTCTTCTTAACCAAATTCCTTCACAAATACCATGGGCTAGAGCCCGAAATTCTGCTTCTGCACTGCTCCGGGCAACAACTGTTTGTTTCTTACTTCTCCAGGTCACAAGATTTCCCCAAATATAGGTGCAATATCCTGAAGTGGATCTTCGGTCCAATGCAGAGCCAGCCCAATCTGCATCTGTATATATTTCAATCATCCTCTTGTGTCCTCTTTTAAAGAACAATCCTCGACCAGGGGTGTTTTTGAGGTACTTCAGAATTCTATAAACTGCACTCATGTATTTTTCCTTAGGAGAATGCATGAATTGACTAACCATGCTAACTGCAAATGCAATATCAGGCCGAGTGTGAGATAAGTAGATCAACTTCCCCACCAATCTCTGATACTGCTCTTTGTCAACTTCTTTCCCATCTTCGATTCCCAATTTAATATTGGGTTCAACTGGAGTCTCTGCTGGTTTGCACCCAAGCATTCCTGTTTCTTGTAACAGGTCTAGAATATATTTCTTCCGAGTTAAAGAAATTCCTGCCTTACTTCGAGCAACTTCCATGCCTAGGAAATATTTGAGAGATCCAAGATCCTTCAGTTCAAACTGATTAGCTAAACATTTCTTCAAAGAGCTTATCTCCTCACAATCATTACCTGTGACAATTATGTCATCAACATAAACAATGAGAATAGCAATTTTACCACCATTAGAGTGTTTTAAAAATAAAGTATGATCAGTCTGAGCTTGGAGGAATCCTCTTCCCTTAACAGCTTGAGTAAACTTCTCAAACCACTCTCTAGGAGATTGTTTAAGACCATAGAGAGACTTTTTCAACTTGCATACTGAATTGTCTCCTTTTTCAAAACTAGGTGGTGGATCCATATAAACTTCTTCATGTAGATCACCATTCAAGAAAACATTCTTTACATCTAATTGTTGCAAGGGCCAACCAAGATTTGCAGCAAGTGATAAAAGAACTCGGATAGTGTTAAGCTTGGCAACAGGGGCAAATGTCTCTTGATAGTATATCCCATGAGTTTGAGTGAATCCCTTAGCAACCAGTCTGGCCTTATACTTGTTGATGCTGTTATTTGCATTAAACTTTATTGTGAACACCCATTTGCAACCTACTGTTTTCTTTCCTCTGGGTAATGCTACAGACTCCCAAGTTCCATTTTTGTTGAGTGCATCCATTTCTTCAAAGACTGCATTCCTCCATTTTGGATCATCAAGTGCTTCTTGGATATTTTTTGGTATTTTTGTACTGTCTAACATAGTGTTGAAAGTATGAAAACCTGGGGACAACTTTTCATATGTGATATGATGAGAAATAGGATGAGCAGTACAAGATCTAGTACCTTTTTGGAGAGCAATAGGCACATCTAGGTTGGCTGTATCAGTGTTGCTGGAACTAAGACTTGAGTCAGAATCCTGGCAGTCTAGAGGCTCCTGAGGTGATTCTCGCCTGCTGTAAAACTTTCCCCATTTCTCGGGAGGATCTCCATTATCTGACACAATAACTCCCCCTATCTTTTGCATAATGACTCCCCCTGTCTCCAACGGCAAAGGCAAAACAACAGAATCATTTGGTTTCCAAGACTTATCTCCATCAACCCCAATAGACTCCCCCTGAAGAGAAGTCGAAGGAAAAAAAGATTGTCTCTCATCAAATGTGACATCCATAGAAACAAAGACCTTACGAAGTGAAGATGAGTAACACTTGTAGCTCTTTTGGTTAGGAGGATATCCTATGAAGACACATTTAATGGACTTAGGATCGAGCTTGGACCTTTGATGGGGAAGAACATGTACAAAAGCCACACAGCCAAACAACTTGGGAGGAAGGGAAGAATGAGCCCGGAAAGAAGGAAAGGTGTGGGTAAGACAAGATAAAAGAGATTAAAAATTTAGGACACGAGAAAGCATCCGATTGATGAGGTATGCTGCAGTGAAGACAGCTTCCCCCCACAAATATTTAGGGACATGCATGGTAAACATAAGAGTTCGAGCAACTTCAAGGAGATGTCTATTTTTTCTTTCAGCCACCCCATTTTGTTGAGGGGTGTTAGGACAAGAACTTTGATGAAGAATACCATGCTGGCTGAGATAGTTTCCAAGAACAGAATTAAAATATTCAGTACCATTGTCAGTTCGAAGAATTTGGATAGAGGTCTGGAACTGAGTTTGAACCATAACATGAAAGTTTTTAAAAATGGATGCAGCGTTAGATGGATGCAGCGTTAGACTTATCCTTTAGAAGGTATACCCAACATACCCTAGAGTGATCATCTATGAAAGTTATAAACCAACGAGCACCAGAAATATTTTTTTCACGGGCTGGACCCCATATATCACTATGAATCAAGGTAAATGGAGAAGAATCATGATGAACTCTAGGAGGATAAGAAACACGAGAATGTTTTGCAAGCTGACAAATATCACAAGAAAAAGAACTGGGATTTTTATTGATAAATAAGCTTGGGAACAACTTCTGAAGATAAATGAAATTTGGGTGTCCTAACTGACGATGCCACAACAAAACATCATCACAATCATCAGACAAACATACCGAGTGGTTCACAAAATTTTTTCCTTCACAAGAATCTTTTTCTAAATAATAAAGTCCTCCTTCCTCTCTAGCACTGCCAATCATCAGCCCCGAGTCCTGCTCCTGGAAAACACAAGCATTGACAGAAAACTTGGCAATACAATGTAACTCAAACGTAAGTTTGCTGATAGAGATAAGGTTACAAGTAAGAGAGGGAACATGAAGGACTGAGTTCAAAGTAATGTGTTCAGAAAGTTTAATGGATCCTTTTCCAGCAATAGTAGAGAAGCTGCCATCTGCTGTTCTTATTCGTGATTGTTGATAGTAAGGGGTATAAGAACAAAATAAGGTTGCATTACCTGTCATATGATCTGAAGCCCCTGAATCAAGAATCCATCGACTACTATTATCAACATGGAACGCTATACCTTGTTGAGCAACATTGCTGGATGGAAATTTACTTTCAATCAACATGGCTGCGTGTGGTAACGCGTAGGGCGGACGCTCCGTCCTTTCTCTAGCGCGTGGGGGCGCGTGGCTCAGCAGAATCCGATGGTCCTTCTTGAAACTTGTAGATCGGCTCCTGTTTCGAATGGTGCAGATCTTGGCCGGAAATGTTGTCGGAAAAATTTTCCGACGGCTGCTGACGGCGGTGGAAAGCTGGGATTTTGCCTTCTACAGTGATTGGTAGCCTTACTTTGCTCTTGGGACTTTGTAGGAAGGGAAAATAACCTTAATAATAGTTGGAGGTTGAGTTTTCCGGCGTTGTGCCGCCGGTTTGACGGTGGTTGTGGTGGCTGAGTTTTCTCAGGACCAACCTGCTTTGATACCATATTGAAAAAGGTTTTCAGTATATCGATATTCAATAATTACATGAGGAATGAGGAGTATTTATACAAGAAAAAATAGCTAAGCATGACTCAGCTATGACTCACCAAACCTAATCACAATCATAAGAATGACTCAGCTATGACTCACTAAACCTAATCACAATTAATTCTAATTAATTACAATTAATCCTAATTAATAGGAAATAAAAAACAATCAATCCTAATTAATCTTAATTATTCCTAATTAATAAGAAATAAAAACGGAAAATATTTGAATTTGAATTCTGATTTTCTACAGTTCTATTTCATTTTTGAATGCAACTATCTTGCAACAATATGTTTCTGAACATGAGAAATTGGAAAATTACTAATAATGAAAATGAAATTGATGCCATACAGAGAAAGAATGGTTGTATATTCTTTTAGTCTGGGCTAGTCCTGTCTGCACTACACTTGCATTATGCTTGATACGTATCCTGATCCAGAGGTATTTTGTATTGTTTCCTGCAAAAATATAGTGCAGTGAGATCAATATGCTTCTTAGATATTAGACTAGACTGATAAAATGCATACAACTTGCAAAATATCATTATAATGTTATTCATTGTACTATTGTATTCTCCTCCAGTAACTGGATATGACACCCCCATTTTCAGTGGGTCCTTACAAACGATTCATCCTCCCCCTAATTCACATCCTCTATGTTTTTAATTATATATTTTGATCCTGAAGGTTCTTTCTAAGTATTATCCGGAAGTTGTGATGTGTGCTCCTTCAATTGGGCGCAAAGGGAAGGCTCTGCGCAGGCGACATCAAAGGAGATCTGCAGAGTCCCAGCTGCATCTTAAAGGAAATACTTGTTACACGAGACAAAATTTCACCCCTGTAGTGCCTGCAGAATCAGAAACTGGTATTTGAATCATGTCCTTTTTGAGAGTTTATGGCTGCCTGTTATGATTGGAAATCCCTTTTTCTGTTTACTTCATGTCCAACACCAAAGAAAGGTTAAACAAAGAAAACACTTGAGAAGAAGAGAGATAGGTAGTGATGCTCTAACCTAGTGGATGAAGTAATCTTCTTAGCCTCTTTACCGCTAGCTAATAGCTATTTCAATGGGTCTTCTTTGATGGATATGCAGAGAGAGTGGCAATCTGTGCTTACTTTATATTTTGTCTTGGTTGTCTAGTTCTTATATTCTTTGTTCTCTTCTAGGAGTGTACCTCTTGTCTGTTCTTGTACTTGTTTCTCTCATCTCTAATTATTTTTATTTTATCCCAAAAAACACTTGATATAACCTTTCTGCTGCTACGAAAACAGACTACAAAAGCTGCTATATGTGACAGAGTATTCATTCACATGTTTAGTTGAAACAACTTGTGATTGTTCTGTGCAGGGTGGTAGCATTTGAATGACTGATATACATGCTTAACCTTTATCAATGTGTTACAGAAGGGATTTCGGGCTCCACATCAGAAATACAGGCCTTACCTAGTGAATCTAATGGAAGTGCTGGATGTGAAGGGACTAAATTTGATGACAAATTTTCAAATTTTGAGAATTTCTGCCAGTCTGGACTGTCTCATCTTGGAATTAAATGTTCACATGATATAAACCTTCAAGGCATATGGAAGGAAGCAGAACCATTTCTTGTACGTCAATTTCAATTTCTTCTATTATTTCAAACTATTGTCAGTATAATGCTCGTAGAGACGTAGACCTAATTTAATTTGTCTAGGATCTTATTTTTTATTTAGTGGTTTCTTTTTGTTGCTTATTTACGGTTTCTTTTGCCACTTTGTATGTAATTTTGAAATATTACTTCTTATAATAAGTAGGATTTAAGCTTGATGTTGCATGTGTTCCTGAGGTTGAAATAAATTGGTTGCTTGGTTGGAAATGACTTATTTTACGTATTCTTCATATTTTGCCATCAGTATTATTTAGGTTGTTTAAGCTCCAAACATATGTCGTTGGAAACATAAGAATTCAACTTTCATGTCGTGAATGGATAAAATGGTGGCAGAGACAGAGTGGTTGGATGCATCTTTGGTCGGATTATAATGGGCATGTAAGAAATGAAACCATTAATCCAGCTCCCACATTATTTATCATGTTTCTAGTTACCTAAATAGTATGGTTTATTGGCATTGCACAATGTTGAATGAAAAGAAACAAAAACCTTCAAAAGTTTAGAAGCTTCGATAGATTGCAATATGTTGAAATTATAGGGATTTGGGTAGACGAGAAGGAAAAGAGATAAAAAAGAGACTATGAATAATATTGTGTATATTGATGTGATATTATGAGATACAAAATAAAAGCACTAAACCCAAATTATAATAATTTTAGACTTCTAATCTTAGTCTAACAAACAAATCATGAAATATAATGAAATATGAAAACCGAAATCCTCTAAGATACTCTAAAATATTTTAAGATACATTAATGATGTTATGAGATGTTTTCTAGATTTTCTAACACTATGTTTTTAGGTAAATCTAGGGTTGTCAAAACGGGTCGACACGATACAATTTTGACACGACACAAATGCATGCAATATGAACATGACACAAATTTTTTTTCGTGTCAGAATCTTTAACATGAACATGACACAAATTTTTTGCCGGTTGACAAGACACTAGACAAATGACACACAAATGATGGGTCAAAATAGTAATTGACCAAAAAAATGGGTCAAAATTTAAAAAAAGTTCAAAAAAAAGGGGTCGAATTCGTGTTGACATGACATGAATTTTTTATCGGCCATTTGTCCTAATACGAACACAACACAAATTTTTTTGCAGGTCAACCTGAATACGAATTTTTGTGTCGTAGGTCGACCCGCTTGTCATAACTTGTTTTGACACCCCTAGGTAAACCGTGGAATGTTGAGTTTTTAAGTTGTAATATTTGTTTTAATGTTTATATTTCTATCCATTGGTGGTTCTTTTTTGCTACCCCGTCAATATACTTATGGTCATAAAATAAAGTTTTCTGCAAAATCATGTATGGACTGCATTTAGATAAATGTTAGCTAGAATTTCAACAAACATAATTTGATATGTAGCTTTCAAAAGTTATGTATACTTATGCTGTAATCCAAGACAAAAGTAGAACTACTAATTACTTATTAGTGTAGCAATTATGTACAGGATCTCATAGGACCTTATTGGTCTCTCAGAGCTGCTTTAGGGCCTCTTTTGGAAACTCTTATTCTGCTTGATAGATTATTGTTTCTTCAAGAGCGAGGTAGTGCGTTGGAAGCCTACTTGTTACCGATATTTGACCCAAACATATCCCCAAGAAATGTGGCCATAATTGCGAAGAAGATTGACAAAGATTTAAGATCCTCCTGTTACTAAAGGTAAATTGTCTGTTTGTGTATCTCTCTGCCATGTAATCCCAGTACCCAATCACCGCTCCTTGAATATCCTTTTGTTTTATTACTCTGTTAATGCCTTTCTCTGTAGCAGGATACATCCCAGTTTATTTGTGATTGCAAAATGCTTATAAGACATGACCAAGTGGCTTAGTCCAGTGTGCATTCTGGGTTGAGTTGCTATATGCCACAAGGTATATTCCTTTTAGACGCAATCCCTTAATCTGATTTGATCATTGATAGTTCTAGTAGATAAATCCATAGTTAGCTATTATAATTATAAATATATCCTGTACAAGAGTATTGAGAATGCTACGGAATTTTGGACCAGTTCATCAATTTATGTTCAATCATTCTATCTAGCAGTTGTCTCATCGATTTTATATCAGGATGCTGCAATAGCCAGTCATATTTTTTGTGTGTGTGATTATTAACCACACCAGTTCTTGCTTATATTTTTGTGTTTTTAGTACTGCAAACGAATTAGGGAATATTAATATCACCCGCTCTGGTTAGTTGTGTATATTTTCTCTATCAAAAGTCGTGTTTGCTGGGGTGATGGACTTTTCTTTGTCAATAGTGGTTGTAATGTTGGTAAGGCAATTGAAAACCAGGAGTGAGGAAGCTCTGTGCTTTGGCAGTGCAGTAGGTTTGAAGTTCAAACGTCTAGCCGTTGATGAACTAAACCTTCGTTGCCTTTCGGATGTGGTCAGCTTTGTTACAGATGTCAGGTCCATAAGGGCATGCCCCGTGTTCTTGGAAGAAAGAATTTTTTCATTTTTTACTTTGTTACTTGGGTGGGAGTAGGGTAGTCTGGCCTTTACTCAATGGTCTTTTTTCATTTTGATGCTGATTCCAAACAAAATGTTATGAGAGGTTACCATCAATAAAAAAAGAATATCAGATTCAGAGTATGTTATGCACATGCATACTGTTAAGAAGACTAGAAAGGCTACACCGTGGTTTCAGATAGGCACAAGATCCCACTCATGAATTAATCAAAAATTTCATTGTTTAGGTTTGAATGGAAACTAACCGTATTTGCATGTTACAGACAAGGGATTCAGAGGTGAACTAAGTGAACATGATTTTTCAAAAATTCAGGGGATTAAACAGAACGGTTGGATTTGGCTGCAGGGCCATTTTCTTATCATTTCCTAGATAATTGAGCACTATTGTTCTCCAAAGTTATACCCTTATCCGGGCTTGACCAACATAATAAATTACAACATGCTTAGGTTAAAAAATAAGCATATTTAAAAATTAGGTTACGACAGGCATGTCAATAGCAATTCAGCTCTTCAAATGCTGCTTTCTTTTTTTTACCATATTATAGACCTATCAAAATAGGTGAGATTGTCCCATTAAGTCCTAGCCTAGCCCATTCAAGTTAGAGGTAAAAGGCCTACAATAATGATTTGCATGGGCCGAAAACTTTATTGGTTAAGGCCTATTCCTGAGCCATCCAAAGTTAAATTTAAAAAAAAAAATATTTCTTTTATTATATCTAATGCATTTAATTTTTTTTAATAAAATAAATATTTAACACGTTTATAAAATATTTTATACAAAATTGATTTTTAATAATTTTTTTTAAATGAAATAATATTTGCATACAAATATATAGATGAAATGTAAGTAAAATTTTAATTTCCTTGAATAGTTATTTTTTTTTTTTATCAAAAATATTAAAGTCTTTCTTTCTTATTATGATATCAATGTTGATGGAAATGAGTGAGAAAAATATTAGAATAAAGAATGACAGAATGACAAAATCATCATCGTTGATTTATAAATGAATCGTTAGGATTCTCTCATATATATATATATATATATATATATATGGTAATAGTTTATCAGGATGTTCATTGACTTAAATTTGAAATCATAAGATAGCCAGGTTTACACTGTTTACATTTGTACCACACTGTTTACACTAAAGATTCTATTGTTCATTGCCAGAAAGAAAAGTGAAGATGTGAATTGATGTTGCTATGAAACATTGACATCAATAACTGTGGGCTCTAATATTTATATTTTGACATAATATGATATAGGGATTAATGTTTCTAGGAGATAATTTTAATTTTTATACACATATAAAAATATGTGGGTCCAATGAACAAAATAAAGAAGCATAATATATATGGGCTATGGTGCAAGGTGCAATGGACTAAGGTACACTGTCTAGAAATATGGTTTTATATATTTTTATATATGTGTACAAAATAAAATTATCTCCTATAACATGAGAAGTATAATATATATGGGCTATGGTGCAAGGTGCAATGGACTAAGGTACACTGTCTAGAAAGAAGCTGAATCTACTCTTCCTTTAAAAAAGAATACACCTTATTATTAATTCCTCTTCTTTTAAATTTAGAATTTAAGTTCTTTCGAATAAATTATGAATATGTATGTTTTTTATTTTTTTATTTTAACCAATAGTTTGCAAAAAAAAAAATTAAATTAATTATGCATATAATTCTTATAGTTTTAAATATATTTTAATTCATATTTTTAAAATCTATCTAAATAAGAAAGTGGTGGTAGTTAAGTTGGTATTAAGAGAGTTGAGTAAGTGATAACTTAGTTGATAGTAAGAGAGTTGAGTAAATTAAAAGGAAAGGTCCTCGATTCAATTTTCACGTGTCATCTCTAAGAGGAGTTTACATATTTTTATCTATGACCTAACCCGCACTTCAAATTAGTCTCATAGTCGGTTCAAAAAGTTAAAGCTTATGGGAATATTGAACGGAGCTAACACATCTCAAAGAGGTAATTAGAGTGAAGTTAATTCTAAAAAAAAATATGTAAATAAAAATTACAAGAATTGTTTGCTAATTCAATCAATTAATTTAAAGTTCTTCTAAGAGAGTTAATATATATAAAATTTATCTTCTTTTTTTGGATAAACCTCAAGTATTCTAAGGCAATTCTGTTTGGTGTGAGTCTAGAATTAAAGCTTTAAATTCTTTTCAAAAAATAATACTGCGGAGGATGGAACATATATTTTTACCTCACTTGTTGCTCAACTTCTATGTGCTAACTAAGTTACTATTATTTGGTATAATTTATCTGATTTTGTTTTTCAATTTTTGGTAGTTTAGATTTGGGCCTGTAATAGTACAGTCACTATTAAGAAGCCTAAAGAAGCGTATCCCAAAATGCGGAACATTAGTAGCTGGGCCGAATCGAAGTTCGAAACCTCAAACTGGCTGATTCTGACAAAACAAAACCCTAATCTTCTTCCTTCTTTCCCTAAACCCTCTCTCGCATGGCTTCTGAAAGGGTAAGCTCCGAAACAGTGGCGAAAGCCGTTGATTCTCTCCTGAAATGGAGGAACTCACAGTCAGAAACCCAAAAGCCGAAGCTGTTCGACGAAGACGAGGAATTCGTGTATCTGATTCTCACTCTCAAAAAGATTCCCCAAAAGGGTCGAGTTAACCCTTACAAGATCTCTCTCCCTCACTCCCTTCTCTCTCCATTCTCCGAGCAGTGCTTGATCATCGACGACAGGCCCAAGTCCCAACTCACCAAAGCCCAAGCCCATAACAAGATCCAGTCCGAGAGCATCCCCATCTCGAAGGTTCTGAAGCTCACGAAGCTCGCCTCCGATTACCGTCCCTTCGAGGCGAAGAGGAAGCTATGCAATTCTTACGACGTGTTTTTCGCTGACAAGAGGGTTGTTCCTTTGCTTCCGAGGTTGTTGGGGAAACTCTTCTTCAAGAAGAAGAAGGTTCCTGTTGCTTTGGATTTGAAGAAGAATAATTGGAAGGAACAGGTTCAGAAGGCTTGTTCTTCGGGGCTGTTGTTTCTGAGTACTGGGACTTGTAGTGTTGTTAGGGTTGCCAAGTTGAGCATGGAGAGGGATGATATCGTGTCCAATGTTGTTGCTGCCATCAATGGGATAACTGAGGTTGTTCCCATTAAATGGTCTAATGTAAGGTCCTTTCATGTCAAGTTGTTAGAGTCCCTCGCCTTGCCCGTTTATCAGACGGTTCCTGATGTGAAGTTGAAGATTGTGGGAATTAAGGAGAATGAGAGGAAAGAGCAAGAGGAAGAGGAAGAGGAGGAGGAAGCGGGTGAGAAGAAAGTGGGAAAGAAGAAGGGTAGGATTCATCAAGTTAAGTACATGGATGATAAAGTTGGTGAGGATCTCATTAAAGATGATGATGATGTTGTTGTGGAAGAAGATTCTGAGAATGATGAAAAGGGTAATGGAGAATTAGTGAATAAGAAGAGGAAGAAAGGAGTTAAAGTGGTGAAGGGGGGTCTAAGTGAGTTGACTAGTATCAAACGTTTGAAGAATTCTGCTAAGGAAAGTTTGATCAACAAAATTGGAAATAAATTATCTGTTGAGGATCTGGAGTCGGGCAACAAGAAGAAGAACAAGAAGAGAGTGGATGTTAAAGTAAAGGCTAAGAAAAGTAAGAGGGTTTTGTGAGCTGATTGTTGATGTAATAGAGTATTTGTTGTTAGAATTCACTGCTTGATGTAGCTCTCCGCAATCCTGTGTGGTTTTGCTTTGTTGAGTCCTCTGGCAGATTTTGTTTTTGAGCGAGCTTATTATTATATTGTGGCATTTGTTGTGTTCTGTTCTTGGGAATTTTGTCTTTAGAATGGTTCTCAACGGAAAAAATGAAAATGTTGTTTCTCATTTCAGGGTGATATGAAGTTATTTAGATATAGCATGTTGTCAGAAACTGACTTAGAAATGGTGAGATGAGAGTTGGTGCTTCACTTTATGCAAAAGTTATATAGACGAAATGATAGGAGAATACCCAGAACAAATTATACTTTCAATGATTGTGCTGCTTTGTTTTGGCATAATAGAATTTTACCTTAAATTTCATTTCTTTGTTTATATAATACATACATATTTCTCTGAAATCTGTTTTTTTCAGTGAGTTTTGGGCTTTCTCTCCTCACATCCCTATTCCTTGGTTATTTGCTTCCAACTTCACTTATGTGCTTCTAGATTTATCTCGAATATTAATCTTCCACCTCCTTTTAAAATTGAGGGCAGTATATTTTTACACTGGTGTAAGAGTTAGAAGTCTTACTTATTGATCCACTTGTATCCAATGGCTCACATTACTAAAAAATTTGAGTCCTTAGATATAAGTGGGATCAATGGACAAGATTGAGTGTGTGTAACTTACACTGGTGTAAAATGATTATGACATTTTCAAATTATTAGTGAAAGTTGTATTTATTGTATTTTTCTGTACTCCCCCCACCAACCAACTTTAGCTTATAAACGCCGATCCTGTTGCTATTAAAATTAGAGTAAAGTTTATTTTGGGTCCTTAACAAAAAACACAGTCTCGTCTCTTAAAAAAAAAAAGTCAACTTTTTCTCTTTACAATTCTAGTTCTTTAAAAATGTGGTCCTTCAGAAATTCAATAAAGATCTCGTTTAGTCCCTGAAACAGGATGAATATGGATATTTTATTTTGTAAGAGATGAAAGTGGAGATCG